TTAAGGCTTTATAAACCCTTCCCACACTCCTACAAACCTTTCCCACTCTCAGTAACTTTACCCACTCTCTTATAAACACTTCATATGCTTTTACATACTTTGGCGATGAAGATGATGACGATGAGATAAATGTACAGTACTGCACAGCAAGTACAGTACACACAATATGAGAAACCGGATTTAAAAAACCTGCACTACAGTAAAGCTGCAAGAAGTGCGCAGCAGTGCAGCAATGGATGAAGGTATATCATCACTAGACGGAGTCTCACATGCACTTTGATCACCCAAGCTCCGTGGTCAAGGTCACAAACCTGATTGTCCCGGCCATTGATATAGATTGTTGAACTGTCATAACATAGTTTGTAGATGGGTGTATAATGTGTTGTATGCAGAACTCTTCTTATGTTTGTGGTTGTAACTGATGAAATAAACAAAGTTTTATTGGCAAGACTACTTTTTTCAAGGCACTCAAAATGCCTGTGTGTGTGATGGACTTTAACTCAGCCATATTTACAAGTTTTGGGCTAAAATGTGTTGTGGCAGTAGTTGAGTCATCACCATAGCTTACTTGTGACTGATGCTTACCGTTAATGGTTTCCATCTTTGATTGAATCTTCTGAAAGGAAGATGACAGGTGATATGAATTTCTTCTGGAAATTTTACTTTTTATGAAAGAGCATTTTTCCTAAAAACACTTGGTTTAAATAATGCACTGAATATGATAATGATATGTGCATTTTCTTCTTTGTTTCACCCAGCTGTTCGACCATATCGTCCATTGCATTGCTGACTTCCTGGAATACATGGGCATGGGAGGCGCATCCTTACCTCTGGGATTTACCTTCTCTTTCCCCTGTCATCAGAGCAAACTGGATGAGGTGCTGCTTTTTATGTTGATTACTTATGCAATTGTTGATGGTTTTAAGTCTAATTTGATCGGTTTTCTTTAGATTTTTGTAAATTGTTGGTGCAAATGTCAAAGATCTCAAGATAATACAACAGTTTATTCTAAAGATTTTTCCCGACTCTAGGTATTGATTCCTATCTAAATGTCTGTAAAGAAATATGAACCTTTCTCAGAAGATCATTGGTTTTGAGTAAAAAAAGGCAACTCTGAATTGCTGTCTGTTGTATTAACCAGTCATACTGATGTGGAACGAACAAAGCCAGCTTCAATCATACAAGTTTAGTTTTTACAACATATTACCTTGAAATTAAGTGCTACCAATTCAACATTGTACTCAGCTGGAAGGTTAAACAATCAGCAAACTATGGGGAGTGTCATCTAGCTGATGATGGCAATTAGAAGCACCGCACAATAAATGTAACTGTACGGCTCTGCCTCTGAACACTGTGTGTAAAATAAGGTATAATTTGACGGGGTTTCTAAAATGGAACATAATTGGGTGTTTTGGGAATGTGATTGTGTAAGTGGCCTTGGCTCGCCATTAAAGGCAATCCACCACGTGAAACCTACATCAAGGTCAAAAAAAGATTTACAGAGTTCTGCTTGACATTTACAGAAAGTCACAGGGAAGAAATCAAACTATGGCTTCAGGGAAAGCCACTACAATTTTTTTGGGATGTTTGACTAAAGGTGTTTATTATTATTTGTTAATATTTAATTATTTGTCTTGTGAGAACAGTTAGTCATTAATAATCATGTGATATATGTTGAAAAGCTACAGAAATAGGCTGACCCTTCAAACCTCCTCCTAACAATAAGCTCCCCTGGACTCCTTTATCAGTTTGACAGCTCTTTGTAAATTAAGAGAACTGGTGCCCAAAAAGGCTGCTCGAGGAGTCAGACGAGTAGCTGCCCGCTGCGTGTACTTTTTAAAACCACCGGCTGACTCTGCTACATTCTCTGGTTGTCATCTCATTGGTTTGTAACACAATTTAAACTCACAATTAAATCTTTAAAATGCACCTGTGGTAATTAACCTAATTAGATCTGCAACAAGAGTTTAATTAATTGGTCAAATTCAACTATCTTGCACTCCTTTTGAGATTATTGGAAAATAAGCATCTTAAAAGATAAAAAAAAAAAAAAGAACTTACAGTTGAGAGCTTTGCAAGAATCACTCTATAAATGGATGTTTTTTAACGTTGTTGGGTTCAACTCTAACAGAAACAAACCAGAAATGATATTCAACAACACTTTATTTAGTTCTGGCAGTTCTTTGTGCTTTCTTCAGTGAATGTTTCCACCATCTGTGAAATAGCCCCTGCTGTTTTTTTTTTTTTTTTAATCTAGCACCATCAATCTGTTCTGTGCAGACAGGGTGGAAGAGGTTAACAAGGATGAAAACCTGCTCATAAAAGTCATAGCTGACAAATCAAATTCACATTTGGAGTCTGTAGTGGTTCTGCTCTCCTACCATTCAGTCGTGACACTCGTGCACACTGAGGTCATCACAGATAAATAACACAAATCTCTTCCACATTCCTTTGCCCACCCAAAAAAATCTGTTTTATTTTTTCATAAATTTTGTTTTATTTATTTATTAAGTTCCCCCACCACACACACACACAAATTAATGTCTGTTCAGTTTTCATGCATTACAGTGTCTTTCATCTTAAAACCATCTAATCATATGGTACGTTAATCGATATTTAACAGTTCAGGAGGAAAATATCCCCAAACCAGATATTTCTATAAGATAACAATGAACAAGCAGAATAAATTTACAGAACAAGAAATTTTTATAAAGGACTTGAATTGAAAGGCATCCAGCTGGTTAGGAAATGTCTTCCAAACATTTTTCTTCAGTGTTCATCATTATAACTGAGAATATTTGCTTTTAGTCTGAAACTACTACAAGAAGATGGAGCACTAAAAAAAACATTTTCATGGCTTGTCAGGAATTTGAATTTACAGCTAATTTGAAACGGAGCCAAAGCTACAGACGTTAGCATGAAATAAATGGAGAACACGAGAGAATCAAGGAAGGAGTCAAAGCAAAGATGGATGTTTTCACCTAAAATGCTAACGAAATGTATCATCGTTAAATTGAAACCTTTTATGCAATTATTTGAGATTTTACTCATTGTGCCGTTCATAGATTTCCCAGATTTGTTACGATGTTGAAAGCACTATTCATCTCAATATTTTATTGAATTCATGGACTTCTTAAAATATGTTTGACCTTTGGTGGTACATTGCACAGCTGTAACAGAATTAGTCAAAGACTGTACAAAACAAACCCAGTGGTAATCAGTGGGATTTTGTCACAGCAGGTGAGAAAGCCCAGCCCTCTTTAGAGCTGTCACTCAGACAGGCATCACAATAGAAACAGAAAGTACGACTTTACATGTCTGAACTAGCATTTTGATGTATTTTACATTTTGACACAATAACAGTTTGTGTATATTTTTTATAATAATGGCAAAGTGACCACTAAAGATGTCAAACTAACTTTTGAAGTCTTTCATAGCTTTTGCAGACAAACTTTTTACTTCAACAGGTTTTTTTTTTAGTACATCTACAAATTAAACATTAATCTATTAATATTGGTCTCTGATGGACTCTGTGTATCTCTCACTGCTATAAAGGATTTACATTTTCTCTCAAATCTCCCATAATGCAGAGATGTACTGCCAACCTTTCATGGGCTTCACTTGGAGCAAAAAATATTTAAAGCTGAAATTGAAATGTGTTTAACTTGTCATCTGCTACATTAAACACTTTATAAACACACATTTCACATGTGACCATTTTTCTTCTGTGGCTCACGGCTCAATAATTAGTAAGATCTGATTTATAATGTGTGCACAGCAACTGCTTGATGCTTGATCTTTGATGTAGCTTCTCTTATGTTTGGTGACAGGGAGTGACAGATACAGGTGTGTGGTTACCATGGTGACCCTAATGCTCCACTGGCAGCAGCTTTAACATTACTTTTTAATCTTGGTACTCTATAATTTTTTAATACAGTTTATGCATTTTAACGTCTGCCTGTTTTTAGTTTAGCTTGTTGCAAAGATAATTCTGGTGTGTAGCTTTTGACATGCTTCAGAATTTCTTCAGAAAAATTCTGGTTTTAATACTACGTCTACTGTGTTGAGTGTATTCTGTTGCAGGTATATTTTGTAATAAATCCCTGCTGTCATATGTTCAGGGGATCCTCCTGAAGTGGACAAAGGGTTTCAAAGCCAGTGACTGTGAGGGGAAAGATGTCGTTATGCTACTTAAAGATGCAGTTCGGCGCAAACAGGTCAGTGTGCATGTTAACGTTTTTTTAAAAAAGAGAGATTTATGTACTTCTTCCACGCATGTTGAAATTTATACCAGCACATTTTCACTAACATTATAACACACAGTTTTAAAGTATTTATTGAACACTGAGCCATCATTCACATTAGGGTTGAACAATTAATTGCATTTGCGATAATATCGCGATATGATAAGACAAGATTTTCTAATTGCAAAGGCTACAATTTGACTGGTCACGTGACTTGCAAGTGAGCGGAGCAAAACAGAGCAGGGAGCGGGAGAAGTCAACACTGCAGTTTAACCGGTTGCACAATGGCGTCAGGCTCGACAGAAGCTGATACATCTGAAAGTTTGGTACCAAAGAGGCAGCACGTTTGTTGTTTGAAATTATTTTGGCTATAAAAAAGAAGATACTGCGCAACAACATGTATTGTGCAGAACTTTCCTTGCTGCTGTTGCTACCTCTCGAGGTAACACCACAAATCTTTATCAACACTTAAAAAGCACCACAAAGCTATTTATGATAGTTGCATGGCTAGAATGTGAATGACCAGTGCTTCAACTTCAAATAAGCAAAGTACCAGTCGACAGGGATCACTGACCGAACTGTTCGAAGGTATTACTCTGTATGAACATAATTCGAAA